CTTCATCGCGTGTGCTGTGAGTGCGGCTGAGCGTTTGGAAAAAAACCAAAAAAAATCCTTGCAAAGAGTGGATGTTTCCTTGGGACACCGTTATAAATGTCCCGCTTGCACTTAGTTGGGCGCTGCGGGGAAATCCTGTAGGCTGAATGGGTTTTTGGCTAGCTGGTCAAGTGGTTATTTGAATCAGCCAGTTCATCCGGTGGTTGCAATGGAAATAAATAAGTGTGAGTCAAGAGCATTGTGATAACTGTGCAGTCGGCACAGGTTTCTCATTTAGCTCTCTTTGCGCATGCGTTTTGTATGGCTTTTCAGAACTAAATGTGCCTCGGATTTGCGGGACACGTGGGTGATGGAAACGTCAAGTGCAGCCTGTGGCCGTGGGAAGCCGTAGGGTGCGGGTGGCCTGGCGCCCTAGGGGTCCGGGAGCTGGGCTGGTTGCTCTGCCGACTCTGTTATGCTCTTGCATCCAGCGCTTCGATGGGGTGGGCAGAGCTGGACTGGGGAGATGGCAAAATCAGCTGAGGACTTCACATAGCTGCTGACCATCCAGATCAATATCTGCAAAGGAAAATGTAAGTTTGGGAACATGCTGGAATGGCCTTTACTTGACTAACGTGCCTTTTGCAGTCCTCGTCTACTTTCCCCTGGTCAATTGTCCCATGTCCTTTTTGGCTTGTCTCTAGATCTTGTGACTGCATCAGGCTTTGGCTGTGGTTAGGACTTGTTTTCTCAACACGTTCCTCTCTTGAATGCCTTGTTTTGGGGATGCCTGTTGACTGGGGTCCAGAGACATGGAGGTTCCTGGAGAGCTTCACAGGCGAGCGTGTTACGACATCAGGCTAGAGCTAGCTAGAGATAGAGGTTTCTTGCTCCCAGTGACTGAAGAGAGGACAGCATGAGAGCCTGAACCCTCTTGCGTCGCACTCTCAGCTGCGTGTTGCCGGAGGGTTGGCTGGTCTCTCTCCCTTACTGTGGCCGTAGCATGAAGCATGTGTTAATGTAATTGGCCTTGGTAGGAGAGTACCTGGTTTTGGATACCTTGATGTTGTTCTTGCAAAATTCAGTACCTCTTAAGAGCAAATTGCTATTGTTAGTCTTGCAGCAGAGCTCTGTGCGCTAAAGGGAAGCTGTCTTAGTGTTAGGAGGAAGAATTAATAATATGCAGAACATGATAGAGCCAAGTGTATGAGTCTGGAAGACCAATGTGTGTGAGATAAGACCTCTGAATTGTATTTTTTATCTTCTTTTATTTTAGGGTTAAAAGGAAAATGTTAGTAGAGTAGCCCACTTCTCATTACTGAGAGCAAGAGGCTAGTTTTGGGACCATGCTAGTAGACCATAGGAATGTATTGATAACTTGTGGGGCTAAGTGTTGCATGCTGATCTTACTCCCCTGACACGGAAACCCTTTTCTGTCTCATCCAAACCAACAACAGAAAACACAGTATACTGAATAGAGTTGGCCTAGATCCTCGATCTAACCCATGAGTTACCATGTGGAGTGTTTTGCATTAGGTATTACTACTTTAGTCTTTTAAGTTAACTCTTAACTACTTAAGTTAAAGTAACATCTTAAATGCTGTCTTTGCCTGGCAGTTAATGAAATTCTTGTTTCTTTTCTAAGGAAGCTGTGATGAAAGAAGCTAACCATGAAAGGTCACAGGAATTTGTACTGCCTGTCTCCACAATTACTAACAAGTAAGCAGTATATGACACCGTAGGATGGAGGTGGACTTGGCTTCTGTTCATGAGGCTTGTCACACAGGTGAGGAACACTCAGGTGATTTCAGGCAAACCTCTGAGAGGGTGGGCCGCAAAGCCAGCCTCCAGCTGGAGGTGGAGGAAGATTACTCGCCACCTTCTAGTCCTGAGTGCATCCCTGCTGGGCCTTCAGTCCGACAAGAAATTGTTGTAGAACTGCAGTGTGAAGAAGAGGAGACTTTTGAAACTTACTACCAGAAACGTAACTCGACCACCCCTGGGGTTTTTGTCACTTCCAGCACCAACTTTGACTTGCAGTGTGAAGACGAAGATTTAGAGCGCTGTTCCTCTGATCGCTCTGAGGAACCTCAAGGAGGGATAAGTGATGATGATGAAAGCATCATTCTTATTGATCCTTTTGAGGAGGAGGAGGACTTGGAGCCCATCTCTGGAAGTACTTTGACTTACAGGAGCAAGAAGTGTGATGCCTCTTTCCAGGATGTGAGTGAGTTGCAAGAACACAAGCAAATGCACTTTGTGGAAAACTCATATCAGTGCCCTATCTGTGGCAAAGAGTTCTTCCGTGCTGCAAACTTGAGAATGCACATGCTCATTCATTCCAGTGACAGGCCATACAAATGTCCAGAATGTGACAAGGGTTTCATCCGCACGGCTGACGTCTGGAGGCACCTACGCAACGTACACAAGATAGAGCGTTCAAAAATTTTAGGAAATGGCATGGCTAGGAACCTGTGGTCTGCCGCACACAGGAACCAGAATGGTGGCGGAGATGTTTATCAGCAGTGTTCTGGTGACCAAATGCCTGGAGAGGAAGACTATAAACCATACATCTGTCCAACGTGTGGCAAGGGTTTCGATAAGCCTAACCTGCTTTCCAAACACAAGGTGATCCACCGACAAGACAAGCCTTATGAATGTCAAGAATGTGGAAAGTCCTTTGTGCAACTGCTCAGGCTGAAAAGACACCAGCAGACTCACTCTGGGGAGCGCCCCTTCTATTGTGAGGAGTGTGGAGGGACGTTCACCCGGCTGGCATCGCTCCAGCGCCATCAGCGGATCCACACTGGGGAGAAGCCCTACTCCTGTGCTTACTGCGCTCAGGATTTCACTGAGTCAGGTTCCTTGAGGAGACACGAGCGCACACACAAAATGAAAACTCCGTAGTTCCCAGAACTCTGTGCACTGGTGGCTACGTTGTTTCCTTTTGACCTAATTTGTCCACTCTGCTTTGAAAAATTCTACTCATAAGTACAGGTGCAAAAAGGTCTGTCCCCAGTCCCTGTCTGCAAGGACAGCCAGTATAACTCTGGCTAGGAGACATGATTCTTAAGGAACTCTTTTGATCCCTACAGGAAAGACCAGTGTTTGCTGGCGGTACACCATTCCTTGGCAGCTGCAAGAGGAGATGCTTCCACTGTCATTGTATCAGGTTGAAGTCAAGAGATGCCCAAGTTGTTGTTGGGCTTTATCAGGACTAGTTGGACTCATCTGGGGCATCTAAGCATGTAAGACTAATGTTGAAGTAGAGATCAGTGTGCACAAGAGCTCTAAGTTATGATATTACTGTCTAGAATATCACCCCCCTCAGATGCTGGTTTTGCAGAACAGTCCTGCTAGGCTGCCCAGCACACATGGTCAGAACAATTCATCCATCCCTTCCCTCCATACATGCTGTCTTGTTTTACTGTATTAGTTGTAATGATCCATGATTTGGATTTTTTTTTTAAATGGCTATTTATCATATGCACCCCATGCAAATGTGCTCGCCTGAGGAGGTATTGGTCCCTCATGTGCTTACATATTACTAGAGTTTTCCCTGTGAATATGGATGAGTGAGGAGACAGTCGTGGGCTTGTCTTCCAGTAATGTATGTGGAAGGAGTATGTGGTTCTGTGTGTCTTGGGTCAAGGTGAAAGAAAGCCAAACCCTGGCCATCTGCTGCATTACTGTAAGAGATCTCTAAGAATTTTAAATTCAGGAAAAAAATGATAATAAAAATGATGAAAATCTGAGTTTTTTCTAGTTTGTGAGAGTTGGAATTATAGTTCTTTCTCTGCAAGATTCATCATACTAAGCAACATGGATGTGGATTTCTCATTGGATTCCAGGCTCATCTTTAAAGAGATATTACCAGTTTATTTTTTAACTAGCTCATCTGAAGAAACTCAGGTGCCACTTACTGTGCTTTCAAAAGTAATTTGCTTTTCAGTTAGGGTCAAGGAGTAGTTCTGTTTCTTTTCCCGGCTCTCATCTCCTAGAAAGAGTAGTTTCTGGTTTCATCTTTCTTTTTAGAAAGATCTGTGAGATCACATAAAAGCAGACTTTGACCCTTTTCATATACCCTATTTAAATGCTATATAGTGTACACTCTTCTGTTCATTTTTAATTTCAGTTCTGGATTTGCTGTTACTGATAGATGCTCTCTTTCAAAACCCTTGAGAATTTTGTTAGCAAAATACAGCAACAACATAGCTGTCCAATGTGCAAAATAAATTGGTGTTAAAAGTGGGAGCAATCTCTGCTCTTCAAGTTATACAGTAATCCCAGAGAGTAGTTACAACTGCAGCAAGTACAAAATTGCTCAGTGTAAGGACTAGATGACAAATGCACTAACTGTTGTGGAACGGAAGCTGTTGGGAGGCTCCTGACAGCGTTTCAAAAAAAAACCTGCTGAATGATTACATTAATGATGCTAATGTAAAAATGGGTATGTGGGAATTAAATGTGCCGAAATGGAGTGTGAACAGAAGGGAGGGCTGGAGAACTATAGAAGAAGGAGGAGAGTGAGAAGTCCTCCAGAAACAGTGGTATAGAAAAGATAGAAATTTGTGCCCCAAGCAGATGGCTTATCAGCTGTAGATGATGGAGGAAAGGAGCCTGAGGATGCCGATGGACTGCTGTTGTGCTGTGGCTTTGAAAAAGGCCAGTGGGATCCCAGAATGTATCAGGCAAAGGCCCTGAGGAGACTGCACCAAAAATACTGAGTGCAGTTGTGGACACTCAAGTTGAAGAAAATATAATTCAAGCTGGAAGTGAAGCAGTGAGGTCAGGGGAGTGGGAAAGACAGCCTGACATGAGCCGAGCCTATGTCTTTTGACCAAGCACAGCTTGAAAAGGAATCCAAGGGCTGCCTAAATTTCCATGGGAAGAAGAACTTATTGCCATTGGGGGAAAAAATCTGGGGTTTAGCGGAAGGCTTCTAGCCCCTAGAGGACAGAGGTCTTTGGACCAGCCTTGCAGTGGGAGCGTGACTGGGGAGGGCAGCAGCGCATTTTAAGCAAGAGCTCAGTGCATCCGGACGTTTCCGTGCAGCTGTCGGCCCCGCTGTGCTGCGTCGCTCGGGTCCCTCCTCCTCTCTCCAGGCTGGCTACCCAGGGCCGGTTTGCAGCACGCCGAGAGGGACCGGTGCAGCGCGGGGCCGGGCACCGCAGAGGGCGGCGGGCAGAGCGGC